CATGTCTATTATCCCAGCAACTCCAGAGGCCAAGGCTAGAGGATAGGAAGTTTAAGGCAAGCCTCAGCAACTTAGCATGACCCTGAATAAAAAAAAAAAAAATTCAAATTAAAACAGGCTGGGATGTAGATCAGTGATAGAGTACTTCTGGGCTCAATCCCCAGTACTGGAAAAAAAAAAAGAAGAAAAAAATCACTTGCTTATATATTTTTAGACTCTTTTCTGTTCCACTGATCTGTGTGTCTATCTTCACTTATACCATATTATTTTGATTACAGTAGCTTCATAAAAAAGGTTTTCAGTATATAAATTCTGTATATGTTTTGATAGGCTTATACAAAATATTTTTGAGGCTTTGTAAGTGGTATTGCCTTTTTAAATATCAGGGTATTGCCATACATTAGTATTATGCAGAAATAAAATTGGCTTTTGTATATTGTTCTTATATCTTGTGACCTTAGGAGTTCTTTGGGGACTCTTTGAAATTTTCTCTATAGACAATAATGTTACTTATGAATGAGGACAGATTCCTAATCTTTCAGTTTTTATTTCCTTTATTAATTTTTCTAGCTCTGTTGCAAAGGTTGGGACTTCCAGCACAAATTTAGATTGAAGTTAAAAAGAATATATTACATTTTTTTTTCAACTAGGGGAAAAGCACTTATTATTTTACCATTAAGTATAAGGTTACTTGTGGTTTTCATATATGCCTTTCATCAGATTAAGGAAGTTCCTTACTATTCCTACTTTCCTGAGCATATTTTTATTATGAATAGATAATGAATTTTGGCATATTCTTTTTTCAGCATCATTTAAAAATGATCATTTTATTTTTCTTTATACTACTACTACAGTTGATTATGTACATGCTCAGATATTGCACCAACTATATATTTGGGAATAAATCCCATTGCTTGTGGTGTATTTTATACACACACACACCTGTACACATGCACAAAAATTGTATATAATATTTATTAAGGAGTTTTACATCCTCCTCTTCCTAATTATTTTTTATAATATTTCTGTTTGACTTTGATATTACTGTAATAATAATGACCTCATAAAATGAATTAGTAAAGATTACCTCCTGTTCTATTTTCTGGGGGAAATGTTGAGGAATTTGTGTTCTATCTAAATGTTTGGCAGCAACCACCACTAACATTATAACTAAGGATTTGGGGGGGAAGGATTTAAATTACAAATTCAATTTCCTTATTTTTTTAGTTTATTTTATCTTTTTAGTTATATATGACAGTAGAATATATTTTGACATATCATACATACATGAAATATAAATTCCCATATTTGTGTTTTACATAATGTGGAGTTACACTGGTCATGTATTCAAATATGAGCATAGAAAAGTTATGTCCAATTCATTCTACTTTCTTTCCTATTATCCTTTCTCCATTGTTTTATTTCCCTTTGTCTAATTCAATGAACTTCTATTCTTCCCTCCCCACCTGCTTATTATGAGTTAGTATCTGTATATCAGGAAGAATATTTGACCTTTGGTTTTTTGTAACTGGCTTATTTCACTTAGCATGATAGTCTCAGTTCCATTCATTTACTAGCAAATGCCATGATTTCATTCTTTCTTAAATGCTGAGTAATATTGCATTCTGCATATGTACCACATTTTCTTTAGCCATTCATCTTTTGAAGGACATCTAGGTTGGTTCCATAGCTTAGCTATTGTGAATTGAGCTGCTATAGACAATGACGTGGCTGTCTCACTGCTGTATTCTGGTTTTCAGTCCTTTGGGTATGCCAAGGAGTAGAATAACTGAATCAAATAAATGGTGGTTCCTTTCCAAGTTGTCTGAGGAATTTCTGTACTGCTTTCCAGAGTGGTTGCACCAATTTGTAGTTCTACCTGAAATGTGTGAGTGTAACCTTTTCCCCACATACTTGTCAAAATTTATTATTACTTGTATTCTTGAAATTACCATTCTGACTGGAGTGAGATGAAATCTCAGAGTAGTCTTAAATTGCATTTCTGTAATTGCTAGAGATGATGAACTTTTTTCATATATTTGTTGACTATTTGTATTTCTTCTTCTGTGAAGTATCTGTTCAATTTCTTTGCCCATTTATTAATTGGGTATTAAGTTTTTAAACTTTTTTTATATCCTGGAAACCAGTGCTCTCTCTGAGGTGCAGGTGGCAAAGATTTTTTTTTTTTCCTATTCTGTTTGCTCTCTCTTCAAATTCTTGATTGTTTCCTTTGCTGTGGAGAGGCTTTTTAGTTTTAATATTATTCCATTTATTAATTCTTGGTTTTACTTTTTGCACTTTAGGAGTCTTTTTGAGGAATTCAGTTCCTAAGCCAGTGTGGTGGAGATTTGGGCCTACTTTTTCTTCTTGTAGGTGCAAGGTCTCTGGCTTAATGCCTGGGTCCTTGATCCACTTTGAGTTGAATTTTGTGCAGTGTTGGAGATGGGGACTTATTTCATTTTGCTACATATGGATTTCCAGTTTTCCCAGCACCATTTGTTCAAGAGGCTATCTTTCCTCCACTGTATGTTTATGGCACCTTTGTCTAGTATGAGGTAACTCTCTTTATGCAGGGTTATCTCTGTGTCTTCCGTTCTGTACCATGGACTTCATTTCTGTTTTGGAGCCAATACCATGCCATTTTTGTTACTATAGTTCTGTAGTATAATTTAAGGTCTGGTGTTATGATACCTCTTGCTTCACTTTTCTTGCTAAAGATTGCTTTGACTATTCTGGGACTCTTATGTTTTCAAGTTTCCTAAAAGATTGAAACTCTTCATAGCATCTGTTTCTTCTTGGTTGAATTTCAATAATTTGTATCTGTAAAGGTATTTGGTTCATTTCATTGAATAAAAAATATTTATCACCATAGAACTTTTCTGGTTTTCTCTAACTATCCTTACTTATAATTTCTGTCGTCCTATGGTGATAAATCCCATTTCATCCTTAATATTACAGTTCAAGATTCTTTGTTCTTTGACAATCTTGCTACAGTTTTATCAATTTAATTTTTATTTTAAAAGTATTTTTACTGTATTTCTACAGTAATAAATTATCACAGTCTCTGTGATTTAAAATTATATGCATTAATTATCTTGCAGTTTTATTCTAGAAGGCCAATGCCAGTCTCACTGGACTAAACCCAAGGTGTCAACAGGTCTGTATTCACTTCTTCAGGCTATAGTAGAGTCTTTGTTTTGGTCTTTTCTACTTTCAGATGATTTTATGCATTCCTTGGCTCCTCGCTCCTAGTACCAACTATCAGAGCCAACAATGATGAGTCAAACTGTCACATCTCAAAACTCTGAGCTCTGTTGTTTCATATTCCAGTTTTGAAGACCTTTGTGATTACTATGTGTGCCTATGGATAATTCCAGATAATGTCCCCATTTTGAATACTAAACTCAAACACATCTTGTCGACAAAGGCCCTTTTGTCACAAAAGTTAACGTATTTGTAGGTTCTAAGTATTATGGTGTGGACATCTTTAGAGGTCATGATTCTGCCCACTGCAGTACCTAGACAGTTGAATATTTTGTTTAGAGGCTTTATTTACCTTCTAAGGAGAATGTTTACATTTTTGTATTAGCAGGCAATGCAAAATAATCTGCTCACATTGAGGCCACAGGTTCTATTTCTTACCATTTTGTCTAACTCCATTTTTAAAGTTTTGCTTGTGTGTCCAGTGTCTGTGCCCTCTGGTAGCTAGCCTTCAGCCTGAAAGGTGGCCTATCAGTTGAATTATGCTGATTAGAATAAAATCTACAGTAATATGGTTTGGAATTAAGACTTTTAGTTTACAATCAACTTGATGGGGTCGTTGTCCCTAGTGTTTCTCTTACCCCTTTCCTATTTCTGATGGTCTCCAACATAGTTCTTCAGTCAGAAAACTGAAGCTTTGATCTGGGTCTGCTAAAGGCTTGTAGAACTGGGGCAAAGTCACAGGAAGACACAGCAAAATAAAATTAACAAAGGTTCACCTCAACCTTTGGAGAATCAGAGACCCACCAATCATTAATGGATTTCAGGCTGCTTTGACAAAGACTCAAGTAAAAAAATACACGAAAGGATATCAATGAAATATGAGTAAGCTATGAAGAATGTCAATGATATGTAAATATTAAATTTCTTAGTGCTACTCTTGTTGAAAGTAAAAATAGAGAAAAAAACTCAAATATCCTACAAAAGCAATAATGAGATAGTAGTTTTCATCATAAATATGGCAAAAATGTGAAGATTTATTATTCAACATGAAGTAGAAGATATTATTTTTCACTGTTAATAAAATTATTACCTTATTGTGTGAATTGTTGAAAACTTTATGAGAGCAATCTTGTAGGCTATCAATTTCCCTTCTTAATAATCCAACTTATTTTTTTTAACTTTTTTTTAAAGAGAGAGAAGAGAGAGAGAGAATTTTTTAATATTTATTTTTCGGTTTTCAGTGGACACAACATCTTTATTTTATTTTTATGTAGTGCTGAGGATGGAACCCAGTGTCCTGCGTATGCCAGGCAAGTGCGATACCGCTTGAGCTACATCCCCAGCCCCCCAACTTATTTTAATTATATTATTTTAATAATAACCCAAAAAATTTTCCCACATGAGCAAGGGCATATATACAAAGATAATTACAGTGCTTATAATACCCAAAAGGGGAAGTAAAACATCATCAGAAAAGGACAAAAGTAACTTGATTCATCTGTATTATGGGTTCTTATGACCACTGAAAAAAGAGTAAAGCACAAGTATTGGCACTGATATGGAACTATTTCTCAGATGTAAATGATGAAAGCAAAGAAAGTTTATCATAGAATAAAATATATAGTGCATAAATATGGGGGACTGTTTTATTTTTAACAGGACACTCCAAAAAAAAAAATTAAATTAAAAGGAGATGTGATAGATGGTTAAGTATAGTTATCTATAAGATGGAATGGATGTTTTAGAAATCTGTGACATTTGACTTACATTTTGGTAATTAAAAATATAAAAGTACTGTGCTCACATTAGCAGCACATATACTAAAATTGGAGCAATCCAGAGATTAGCATGGTCCCTGCACAAGAATGACAAGCAAATTTGTGAAGCATTCCACATTTTTACCCCAAAACTTTCTTCTTAGGAAAAAAAGTATAAAAGCACAGAGATATTTTATAAATAATAAAAACCTTAAATTTAGTATTTAAACTTTTAATTTTAAATAGTAATAGCATATAACAATTTATTGAAAGATGAATACAAGTGATTTATATAGACATGGGCAGATCATATGCAATTGAGTGTACTCTTTTGAAATAGTAATTTCTTTTTTTTTAAATTTTTTATTGTTGGTTGTTCAAAACATTACATAGTTCTTGATATATCATATTTTACCCTTTGATTCAAGTGGGTTATGAGCTCCCATTTTTACCCCATATACAGATTGCAGAATCACATCAGTTACACATCCATTGATTTACATATTGCCATACTAGTGTCTGTTGTGTTCTGCTGCCTTTCCTATCCTCTACTATCCCCCCTCCCCTCCCCTCCCCTCCCCTCTTCTCTCTCTGCCCCCTCTACTGTCATTCATTTGTCCCCCTTGTATTATTTTTCCCTTTCCACTCACTTCCTCTTGCATGTACTTTTGTATAACCCTGAGGGTCTCCTTCCATTTCCATGCAATTTCCCTTCTCTCTCCCTTTCCCTCCCACCTCTCATCCCTGTTTAATGTTAATCTTCTTCTCATGCTCTTCGACCCTACTCTGTTCTTAGTTACTCTCCTTATATCAAAGAAGACATTTGGCATTTGTTTTTTAGGGATTGGCTAGCTTCACTTAGCATAATCTGCTCTAATGCCATCCATTTCCCTGCAAATTCCATGATTTTGTCATTTTTTAATGCAGAGTAATACTCCATTGTGTATAAATGCCACATTTTTTTTTATCCATTCGTCTATTGAAGGGCATCTAGGTTGGTTCCACAGTCTTGCTATTGTGAATTGTGCTGCTATGAACATCGATGTAGCAGGGTCCCTGTAGCATGCTCTTTTTAGGTCTTTAGGGAATAGACCGAGAAGGGGAATAGCTGGGTCAAATGGTGGCTCCATTCCCAGCTTTCCAAGAAATCTCCATACTGCTTTCCAAATTGGCTGCACCAATTTGCAGTCCCACCAGCAATGTATAAGTGTACGCTTTTCCCCACATCCTCGCCAGCACTTGTTGTTGTTTGACTTCATAATAGCTGCCAATCTTACTGGAGTGAGATGGTATCTTAGGGTGGTTTTGATTTGCATTTCTCTGACTGCTAAAGATGGTGAGCATTTTTTCATGTACTTGTTGATTGATTGTATGTCCTCCTCTGAGAAGTGTCTGTTCAGGTCCTTGGCCCATGAAATAGTAATTTCTTTACAGAAAGACTGGCAACATGGTAATGTGAAATGAAGAAGTGGATTTTCAGGTCTCTCTTATCCCTACTCTATACTCAAGAGGTTGGATTTCTCTTTTGCCAATGGAGGGAGCAGTCTTTTGGATTTCAGAGACTTCCATAAAAAATTTCTTATCTAGAACTCTTAATGTGAGGTTGGGTTAGGAAAAATGATGTTGGTGAGGTAGAGACAAACTTATCAATGTAACAGAATACAGAGCACAGAAACACATTCACATCAATGTTATGAGCTGATCTTTGACAAAGGAGCAAATTCAGGACAAATAAAAGATAGGTCGATTTTTTAACCAATGGAGCTGGAACAATTGCACATCCAAATTAAAAAGAATGAATCTAAATGCAAATCTTACAGCCTTACCTTATAGGCTTTACATAACTAATTCAGAAGGGTTCATAGATTTAAATGCAAACCAAAAAATTATGAAATTCTTAGAATGTAACATAAAAGAAAATCTAGATGTCTTGAATTTGGCAATAACATTTTTATATATGACACTAAATTCATGATTCATGAAAGGAAGAATTGATCAGCTAGCTGTACTATCTGTGATGGACTTTATTAATATTCAAATATTAAAACCTTCTACTCTGTGAGACATTGCCCAGAGGATCAAAGGACAACACACTGAAGACTGTATTGTTTATTCAATATTGCTATAAATCCTAAACTGTCTAAACAGTAAGGTCCTTGTAAAGAAAGTATAATACTAATATAAGACCAGGTATATGATACAATAAACAAAGAAGTAATACACTCATGTAATATGATATTGGTTTCAATGTTATTACCCTATAAGCATAATATATCATTTAAAACTTTTAAAATTTTTATATTTATTATTTCTAGGTATAAATGATAGTAGAGTATATTTTGATATATTTATACAAACAAGGAGTACATCTTATTCTAATTATGAACCCAATCTTGTAATTGTACATGATGTGGAGATTCACTGGTGGTATATTCATGTCGACATAAGAAAGTTAAGTCAGATTTATTCCATGGTCTTTTCAATTCCTGTCCCCCTCCCTTCACTTCATTCCACTTTGTCTAATCTACTGAACTTCTATTATACTCCCATCCTTGTTATGTGTTAACATCCACATATCAGAGAGAACACTCAACCTTTATTTTTTTGGAATTAGCTTATTTTGCTTAGGATGATCCTCCCCAGATCATTCATTTACTGGCAAAAGTCATAAGATCATTCTTTTTTATGGCTGGATAATATTCCATTGTGTATATAAACCACATTTTCTTTATCCATTCATCTGTTGAAGGGTACCTAGGTGGGTTTCATAGGTTGACTGTTGTGAATTGAGTTAATGTAAACATTGATGTGGCTATTGCATTGTACTATGCTGATTTTAAGTCCTTTGAGTATATACTAAGGAGTAGGATAACTGAGTCAAATGGTGGTTCCATTCCAAGTTTTCTGGTTGCACCAGTTTGTAGTCCCACCACCAATGTTGAGTGTACCCCTTTCTCCACATCCTCATCAAAATTTATTGTTATGTAGACCTTTATAATGAAGAATTATTTAAATATGGACACACAGTCAGAAATTTTGAACTATCCTGAGGAACATGCTTGCAGATTAGGTGGTTGATGAAACCATTAAGTGTTTGACCCTCTCAATGTTTAAAAAACATTGTTTTTTTAATGTTTAAAAAACAACAGGAAAATGAGAAATTATACCCCATCTGATTCAAATGTATGATATGTCAAGATCATTGTACTGTCATGTGTATCTAATTAAAACAAATTTTTTAAAAAAGAATATAAAAACAAACAAACAGGAGTTACCATTTATGTGGTAAAAAGATTGACACTGTTTGCATTAGCCACAGAAAAATATTTGTTTTGAATTTTGAGTAGATTTTTATAAAAACAGAAATACAAGAAATCAGTCTTTTCTTACAGTTTTAAGTATTTAAAATTATATCTGTATTATTTTCATTAATTGTCCCTATGTTTTACACACAATCAATGACTATTTTATGTAAGACAACATACTATTACATGTTAGAGTGCACATATGTGTGTGCATGTATGTGGTATTACCTAATCTTTTCAAAAGCTCTATGTGTTGTCTATTATTTTTAACTTCCACTTACATTGGAGGAAACTGAAATGCAGAGAGAACAAGTGACCAATCCACAATTGTATTGTCGATAAATGTAAAAATTGGAAAAACAGTTTTATTTTTGTTTTACATTACGTTCAGAAAAGCTAGAATTGTGTCAGTCATGGTGGCACAAGCCGTAATCCCAGTGGTTCCAGTGGCTGAAGCAGGAGGATCACAAGTTCAAAACCAGCTTCGGCAATTTAGCAATAACCTGAGCAACTTAAAAAAGGGCTGACATGTTGCTCAGGGGTTAAGCGCCCCTGGTTTCAAGCTAGACTTGTGGGTTAGAAAGTAAGTTGTGGTTGAAGTAATTGTGCTAATCAGAAATCTTTACAAATCTACTTCAGAAAATTTTACTTAGAAAAGAGGGAATGATTAATTTTCAGCCAAGTAACTAGATAGTAAGGAAATAAGATAACATTTCAAATATTGTTACAATAGGGTCTGAAGTCTGGCACATTTTTCTTCCATTGCTCTTTCTTAAGAAGTGATATAGCAGATCAAGATATTTCTTTTAAGTGTAAATATTCTAAGGAATAGCCTCTCCACTGTTACAAAATGCAATTGTTTGCTCTATTCTCTGATGTTCCCTTATATCATCTTTATCTACTCATTCAATGTGAACTACCACTTTATTTCTGAAAAAGCTAAAATGGGAGACTTAATGTTTTGCCATATAGTGGTCTCTTAATATTAACAGAATATAAGTGAGGTCTAAAACCTGACTATATTATACAAGGGACACAGAACAAGATGCTGTTGTGATATAGATTATATTCACTTTCAAGTTACAGTTTGTGTATATAAGTTGTATTTTTTTAAATTTTTTCTTTTAGTTTTAGGTGGGCACAATATTTTTATTTTACATTTATATGATGCTGAGGATTGAGCCCAGTGCCTCGTGCATGCTAGGCAAGCACTCTACCACTAAGCCACAATACCAGCCCTATACAAGTTGTATTTATATTAGCACCCCAAGTGAAATGTATATCTTGGAAAAATACCAGAAACCTTATAGCATGTGCATTAAGTATAGCTATAAAATATAAAATAACAAAATGAACTCAAATTTTATGAATTTCTAAAACTGTCTCATGCTTTTAAGATGTTTGACAGTTATCTGAGTTATGTGGGATTCTTTACTGCTTTCTTTCTTCTCTAAACTGTAGAATGGAACTTGGGAGTGATAGAAAGTTTTAAATTTTGATGGTCAGCAGCATTTTAATGGCCAGTAAAAGAAAAAAAAAACATATTGCATCAATTAGCTATAAAAAAAAGAGAACTTAGAAGAAGATCTATAGAGTTTTCAGTATTTTAGTGTTATTTGTTAACTTAGTATGTCCATTTTCATAGAGATGGGGATCAAAAGAAATGTATTTATTTTTGGTACAAAAATAGCAAAGTAATACTCTTTAGTATATGTTATTATTTTAAAAGCTATGTTACTAGACTCCAAGTCATTAAATGGTTTTCCTTAGATGATGGTGTCCTCTAGAATCTAGCTTTTCTGGATGAATGCCCTTTGGTAATGTAGTAGTTATGCCTT